TTATAAAATCTCGTTTCAATGACTCATCGTCCAGTTAACAAGTCATTATTTTGGCCGACGCAATTGTTATTGAATATTTTGTACAAATACGATACCATTTAATAGCATCTTTCTGATTTCTGACGATTTTGAACGTATACGGGCTGTGAAAACGGCAACGACACAAATTCGCAATTTGTAAGATTTTCAGGGTGATACTTCAATGATATTTACGCTTCCATTATTACAACATACAGTTACAGTATAAAACATGAAGTAGCACACCGAGCATGACAAGATATTGCTAGCTTTGAGAAATGTGAATTATATATTTTTCTAGAGGTTGGCTAGTCAACTACTCAGTGAGAGAGAAAATTCTCAGTAGTTATTTGAAAAAAACTGTATATATAATAACAGAACAAATGTGAAGAAAAATACTGATCAACAGAAATGTACAACAGAACTAGTGCCAGTAATCGGATATTTCGACTTAAAAAAAGGAGGAGATTTTCAATTCGACTGTCTGTTCTTTTCCCTTTTCTTTTTTTTGTATGTTCCGCGATAACTCCAGCATTTGTGAACCAACAAGATTTTGATGATTCTGTTTTGTTGGATAGGGGGTACCTCAGCAATGGTCCCATTTAAATTTGAAGAAAATATTCAACCTCTAAGGGTGGCAAACTAGAGAAAAAACCGGTTTCGCGTACTTTCCGGTCCACGAAATTTTAAGCTCGGTCTTTTAGTACTCTGTATATTAATAAATAAGTCTTTCTTTGAAAAGAAAAGCTAGAGCGGTCCTGGGCGAGGCTTTGTTTAATGAACAGTTTTGCCAAGAACAGAAACTTAGTTCTCAAATCCGTGTGCAGCCTCAATCACAAATAGAAGATCAGTATCAAAAAGGTTGCAATATTACCGTACGTAACTGTTTCTACTACAGCTTAGAGTGTCATGTAAATCAAAAACCAGAACTATTTTTTTTTCAACATGAGTCCTTTGGTACCAAAAAATGAGTAACTTACATCTAATCTGAAGCGAAACAGAGTTGCTGGGAGCACTGCCCTCATTATTGTAAGCATGGCAGCTATAATCCCCTGCTGAAGTCCTGGTCACACCTTGGATGACGAGACTCTGATCGCTGAGAATGATCCCTGCACTCGCGTTGTGATGAATTTCTTGAGACTGAAAAAGACGATTTAAGTTAAAAAATTTGCAACGGTAGCTTTAAGTACATAATACGCATGATTTGATAACAACGCAATAGTTGTAGGAAAGCCATTTTTCGTGTAAAATGTGTCGATACAGCTTCGAAATCACATCGTATTTGTGCTGAATTGCTGGTATAGAAAAGAGAGAGATAGTCGAACGAACTTTCCGATTAATGTATTCTAAGTAACATTAGAAATGCTAATTGTATTAAAACATGACCTTTTCACAAGGCAAGAAGTAGTTATCGTTCAGTTAATTTATTCTCTTTGACCCTTTGATACAACATCAACCTTCGAATTTCACGCTTAATATCAATGTAAATGTTAATGATAATTTCCCGTTATCAAAATCACGTCCCATAGAGCCTGTAAACCATTTGTTATCAACAAAATCCTTTTCGCGTGGATCTTCGCTGAACAAATAACTGAAGATAGTTCTCGAAGTTGTGAGCCCATCAAATTCGATATAGCAACACTTTTTTTATTCTTATTCACTCACAAAAGTATGTATGTATCAAGTAAACTATGTCAAGGAAGTGTGTACCTATAGGGTGTTGCTTTTGTTATTGGGCTCCTTCTCTAAATAGATACGAGAAATGTGAACCACGGTTCCATGATAGATGAGCCTGCTTTCTTATGAGTCTCTAACTAGCGAATGGTATAACGCGTCGCTGCATCATCATCAACGTGTACCTATGCGAAAACCTTATTTACATTTGTTAAGGCTGAAAACATATATATGTAGTACGTGAGATAGATCTGTCACCATGACATACATTCTATTTGAAAAGACACAAGCACCTCACTTAAATCTCAAATTATTATTAACGGTGTCAATGTGCTTTGATCGAGGTTACACGCAAGATACGTAATTTTGCATAATTAATAGATTCAAGCGTTACTTTGAGGGTATCCATGTCAATGAAAATGGAAATAAATTTACTTGTTATTCCGGGAACCCGGTTAATTCGTAAAGGAAGGTTCTCAGGTTCAGGAAGGTTAATTCGTGGAGTATTTTTTTCTTCTGCCGAGTGTCGATCGATCAACAAGCCCTGAGAATGCCTCGAAGAGAGGCGAAACACGTGTCGGGTATATTTTTGGTGGTGGTATTTTTAAGTCACGCCCGAAATGGTATAGAGCTGTGCCTCCCGTAACTCTTTGTAGTGTTCCACTGAAGAGCATCACCCAATTAAAATGTTGGGTCACTGGGTCACGAATGACCTAAAAAATAATGTTGACATAGAGAGAGCGCAGAACTCAGACTGCCCGCTGCAATATGCTGGCTCGGAAGTTCGCACGCTCCTCTAACGAAGGCAAGATAATGTTCGTGACGACGGCAACGGATGGTTTCCACGCTATCCTGCGCAAGCGCACTGCGTCGCTGCTGAGCCGCTTGCTTAAATCATCCAGCATCCTGAACATCTTTACTGACCGATGGGACTCTCCGCTGCTGCACCAATAGATCCGCTTGCATGCGGACAAGCACATAGGTGTGTAGCGGTAGCGGTTGACACCCATGACTATTGTACAACAGAATTAATAATACATTTTTTGAATTTGATTTGTCATTATAGTTGTTTGTGTTATGGTGGCACGTCACATGGTTATTTTTATTTGCACATTTGATTTATTTGGCAGACAATCATCATATGTGGATAGTGTGTGTGACAAAGTTTTTGCTTTGTTTGCCTATTTGACAAATACAGCAAACGGCAAACTCGAGTTATCGCTTGCTTGTTGGTTTCTCGATGCACATCAAAGGGGCAATATGGTCACATTCATTATTTTAACTTCTAATTCAGCTCCATGTGCAGACGGTCTTATTTGTTAGTGTTACAACACCGTACATCGAAAACAAGTGACCATTGGAAGGGCCGCTATTTTATTAATTTTATACGAAGGGAGGGTGGGAGAAAAAATTCAATACAAGCTCAGCTCATTTTGCACGATTTAATCTTTACCGAGTTCGCAAAATAGCAATATACTTTACTTCCATTTTTAACCGACTTTATAAAAGGAGGAGGTTCTCGATTCGATTGTTTTTTTTGTGTATGTTTACGCAATTACTTCGACATGTGTGAACTGATTTCAAAGATTATTTTTTGTTGGAAAGAGGGTACCTCAGTAGTGATCCCATTCATATTTAAATAAAATATTCCACCTTTAAGGGTGGTACATTAGGGAATTGATCCGGATTATTGGATTTCACCCAATTTTCGTTAAACCATTTCAATAAAATTTGGCAATTAGATATAATTCAAGTTTTGGGGTCGGTTTTTTTTATAAAAAGTTATTGTAATTTTTAACTTTTATTGAAAGTAAAATTCTTCGACCCGGATGAATTCAAACCAACGTCTTCCAGCAAACCGTGCGATGCTGACTAAGCCACCTAACGAACTAGTGGACCTTACGAATTTTCGTAGTGCTTATTGCAGATCTTTATTTTGGTTTTTAAGGGCTTTTATTGCCGTAGCGACATCTGCAAGAAAACTGGCACGGTTTGTTGGAAGATCTTTAAGATGTTCGATCTTTTTTATTAATAAAAAAGTTATTATTAACATAATTTTGCGTTGACTTATAATTATTGAAAACTACGAAAAATATCACTCAAACCCAATACTACCAATTATCTATCAGTCTTATTAAAAGGGTAAATACAATAAACAGTAAGAGTTATATGTTCTTCATTATTCGGTCGGTTTTGCTCTATGGCCACTTTCTTTTATGGTAATTCGTCGCTCTGTCTTCCCTTCGCCACCTTTATTTATGTGGGACTTGGTAAATGAGCGGAATATTTATACGCCTATCAGTATTTGGGTCTAAATGTTGGTCAAGTTAAATATTCTTATCTCTCATTGTTTATTAGATTAAGTTTTCTTATTGTGAAACCATTTCATCATTTAGCATTAGGTTTAATTCTTTTAGTTAACAGTAAAGATAGTTCACCTACATACTTAAGTACCATTATTATAAGAGGTTTGACCTATTTCTGCCTCCGGTTCCGGTTTTACCTATTTCTGTTCCGGTTTGGAAGGGTAAGGGTGTTGGTGAAATTACAGGCACATGGGACTTGTTAACTTATGTCTCAGGGTGACGGGCACAGTGGCAGTGCCCCTACGATCTTTGCGATTTAAAGCTCTGAGTGGTACTGCAACTGTTAGGGATAGGCGTGTCATTTACCACCAGATGCTCGACTTGTTCGTCCCGCCAATTGGTATTAAACGCAAATCACACAACGAACGAAGCTAGCTAACTTAGTTTATCTCACGTAGTCGCATGCAACTAACTATGCCAGCTAAACTCACTAAGCTTAACTCATATATTTGCACGCAAATCTAAGCTAAGATAATACGTAGTAAGCAGTGACTATGGATACGGGCGAGGGTCAAGGGCGGCAGAAGAGCGACATAGATGTCATCGAACCTACTTACTATGAGCGTTTACTCGCTACTCTCAGACTTGAACCATCTGATGAAGCATTTAGGCGCCGGCTGAAAAAACTTTTCTTGAAAAATCCTATATATTTTCTAAATGAATTTACGGATCTACAATTGTAACGATATTGAGTATTTTCTAGTTTATTCTAATTTTTACCGCATTGACATACGTTTGTAATTTGTTATCAACTTATGACGATCCTTGATGGAGAATGATATTTGATATGTAATTTAATTTATTTATTTTATTTATTTATTAAACTTTATTGACCACAATACAAAGGGTACAAAAGGCGGACTTAATGCTAAAAGCATTCTCTACCAGTCAACCTCTGAGAAAAACGAAATTCACGAACACGGTAAATAAACAGAATATTACGGTTATATTAAAATAAATGAAACAAATTCATAATTATATATATAACAAACTAACCTAATACCTTACTTAATAATATAATACGTACACTTACATACATACAAATATACTATACATATACAAAATAATTTAATAATAATTTAATGACAACAATGTTATTTAAAATATTATTTTGAATTGTTAATTTTCTAATTATTGTGTATTTTTCTCATAATTTTCAGTTTTGTCTGACGATCTCATATTTTACATGGCTAGCGGGTTCGTTGGGTTAGTTTAGTTAGCTCGGATAGCTTAGCTCGCGGTGTGACTATGGGAGGGTTCAGGATTTCACCCAGCACACGCGGGGCACTCGTCCAGCGTGTGCTGGGTGAAATCCTGTGCCTCCGAGCGCCAGACATAGTAGCGGCTATGCTGGTGGATAAGGAGTCCCATGAGGCAGTGGTCTCCTTCTGTGAAGCGGTAATGCAGAGGTAATGGAGAGGGTCGATCCCGCTCGTTCGCGGCTGCGGCCGATCGGAGCGGGGAGAAGTATCCTAAGAGAGTTTCACCACGAAAACAATGTTCGCGGTGACAACCGAAGTATGAAAAGATGCCCCGGCTACGTAAGCTAAGCTAAGTTAGCATAGCTTCTAAGTAATGATAAAATTTAGACCTCATCCGTCCGCCGAGCTGGTTTGCCTTCTTTGATATGCAGTCATCATAATGTATTTCTTCACAGTTGGCGAGAGGTACTGCTACTAAACATTATCAAATATACTTAACTTGCAAATTAAAATCATACATGCATACCGCCATACGGATTTGTATTGCCGACCTTTTAACTGAGAAGCTTCTGTTTGAGATTCACTTATAGGTTCCAGCTAAGCATTTACGTTACCTGTCGCTTTACAAAATTACAAACGGAATTCGCTTATATGGCGTGCGAGCAATAATTTTAACAAAGTTTCTTCTAAATTTTTATTGAATTGATATTCAATTATTTTTTGTGAAATTGTTCCACTAATTTATTATAATTATTAATACAAAGATCGAACACGCGGAAAAAATTCCTTCGATCCGGCCGGATTCGAACCGACATCTTCTAGCTTACCGTGTCAGACGCTATACCAAATAAGCCACGGAACGAACCAGCGGACCTGATGAATTTTTCTATATGCTTGCGTCGTATCTTTCTATTTGGTTTTTTTCAACGACTTTTTAATCGTAGCGCCATCTATGAGAAATCTATTAAAGTTTTATCACCCAGTTAGATATCTTTACAGTTACCAGCCCTGGCGAGAGATGTCGCTATTCACTGCATTTTAAATTTTTATTGAATTGCTATTCATATATTTTTTGTGAAATTACTCCACTAGTTTGTTATAATTATTAATACAAAGATCGAGCACTCAGAAAAAATTCTTTCGATCCGGCCGGATTCGAACCGACGTTCTTTGTATTTGGTTTTTTACAACAACGACGACGACAACGACGAAAAAACCAACTATATGTTACTAGTTACCATAGCTCTATATTGCATAGTCTAAGTAAAGACGTGAATTCGAATCCCGCCAAATCGAAGGAATTTATTTGTGTTAATATTTTCTGGACTTTGGTGCTCTATCCTTTACTTAAACCAAAAAAATGTAGAGTATAGCCAATATTATCGGTGCCAAATGTATTAAATGTCACCTGTATCGTTCCCATTCATCAGAACTCCAATATGTTGTCTCTTTCTTGTAAAAACGTCACGCCAAGTAAACTAACTGAGCTCTAAACAGAACTCCAACAATTGAAGTGATCCTTATTATTTTAGGAAATTACTACCTACGTTTTTAAATTAACTAATTCTATTTCCAGACAAAATCATGTAGTTAATAGGAGGTACTAAACTCACACTATACTGAGAATATTGGTCAAAATTTTGTGCACAAACACGTTAAGCGGTTTTAGTACGTGAGTGTTACGAGTATTGAATAATTTTTAGTTTATTATGTCCCAAATATTTTTTTAAATAAAATTGAAAAAATTATTTCATATTTTTGAATAAGGATTATTTTGGCCAGAACTACCTCACATAAAGTGAGTCTCAATTTGAGTTAAGTAGATATCTTTTGATTGTTTCTTACAATATTCTACCGACATTTTTTTAACGTGTAGAGAATCAAATTTTACGTTCAGTAATGATATAATATTAAATTTTTCATATTTTGAGTTACAACACTATTGTAATAGCAGTGCGATATACAATACCGGATAATAAAATTAAAACCGATACTATAAGATCAGTGAAACCATTTATTACAGGTATAATTTATACCGGTAGTACCGGTACCGCAGTGAACTTAGTGGTACTGGTTCCTGAAAATACCGATATTTGAAACCCTGCTATAAAGAGATGCTAATGATAGATTAATAATTGGTAGTTTCTTACCCCTTTATACCAGGTAAGTCTATGTATCTTCGGATTAGCCCTGACATTGCATTCGAAGTATACGTCGTCGCCTTCCTTGATATAACCAGGGTTGAGTGTTGTACCCAGTTTCAGAGTCACTATTGGCAGATCTGAAATAGAACAATATTGTTAATTTTCGTATCTTGGACCGATGCCACACTATGCGTCGGTGGTGCGACGTGTAAGCGGTGACGCTGCGTTGTATTACGTATAAATCAGAATAACACGTCACACCACGCGTGGAAACCATTTAAAACGACACGCGGCAATGGAACGCGTGCACATCGGACAAGGGGCCAGGAACTGAAGCGGGGGAAAGGGTTCTGTGGTGTTCGTTGCGGCACCGCATTGCTGGTGTGGCACTCGGTGCGTTGAAATCATAGCCTTGCAACGACTGTCGCACCTCACTTACACGACTCTTGCTTTTATTTCAGAAATCTTACATTAATTCGTTTTTTACTGTATTTTATATAGTGGCAGTATTAATAATAATAATGGTTTATTTTCTCAACACAATGAAATAAATATACACTTATTTTGTAATAGACTAACAATTTTAAAAGTTGTAAGTTGTGAGAGACTGGAGACCGTACTTGGCAACTAAAAATGTATTATAGCTCACCAGGCCCTCGCCCTCTTAGAGTAGTAGAGAAAAGCACTATACTGTTGAGGAATAAAAATTGAAAATATTATCAATTGTACTAAAAACGTACGTGTTAATATGTGTAAGTTAAGTGTACGTAGATATGTGTGTGTGTGTGTGTGTGTGTGTGTGTGTGTGTGTGTGTGTGTGT